TGAGTGAAAACAAAGTACAGAGACCTTCCATGGTGTTTATTAAAACCTGAGGAAAATTCTGCTGCTCATGTCATCACCCTGCTGGCTAATGATAACTTTGTGGTTTTTATAAGCACTACAGTTTATGACTATTTATACTCATAAAAACAAATTTAAAATAAAATTCAATAGATAAAATGTTATTTGAGACAAGACAAATATGGACAAGAGAAGATGAGTGTACTTGTTGATTTCTCCAATATTATATGTATCACTGTGTGATATGTATAAGAGTTTGTTCTCATTTCCATCACCATTTGCCATCTCTTATCCTCAACATATGGTTTTATGTCTCTCCTGATTCATTTTTCTCCAGGCTTCTATCTGTGCTGTTTCATCTGATTGTTAGTAACATCACCTCCACCACTCACCATCATTTTTCAGAATGACCAGTTCATCTTCCCCCTCACTACTTTGCACTTATTTCAGTTGCTGTTAACTGTTGTTTGCATTTCTTCCTACTGCCTACTATTCCATTATCGTTCTCTTTCCTTTTTTAGTTGCTGTTTCTGTTGCTCAGTCCTCTTCTGTGTGCTTATTATTGTGCTTGTCTCTTTGTGTGTGTCACAGACTCTGGATGATCTGGAGGAGAGGGTGAAGGAGGCAGGGATTGAAATCAGTGTTCGTCAGAGCTTCCTAACCGACCCAGCTGTGGCTGTCAAAAATCTCAAGGTGCGAGTTCCCCAATCATTCTTACACTGGACACTGATCAGTCAGACCTTGTCTGGCCAGTTAACTGCCAGAGTGTTTGGATACTTAGCAAAAATAGGACAGAAATTTCAGAGGTAGCCTGCTGCTCAGAATGTCGAGTTAGTAACAGATGGAAATTCTTCCCAATGGACGAAACTCTGGTGTAAAAAGTGTGATCATAATTGTATTGTAGTGTCCTTGGGATGTTTTCACACCTATTGTTTGTTTTTTCTGGTTGAAATCACTGGATGCGTGTAGATTTGGCCTGTAGATAATGAGTAGATACAGTAAGAAGGTGCTGTGTTCTGGACTACAGGAGAAGCCAAAGAATTTACATTTATTTCATGGTAAATGGTAAATGGACTGATTCTTATATAGCACTTTTCTACCTCTCCCGGAGGACTCAAAGCGCTTTTTACGGAGAGCAAATTGGGGTTAGTATCTTGCCCAAGGATATTTGGCATGCAGATTGGGGGGAGCCAGGGATCGAACCTTCCAATCAGCAGATGACCTGCTCTACCTCCTGAGCTACAGCCACCCATTGGGGTGGCCCGTACAAACTTTTGCACGTCTATAGTATGTTCCTACATTGACAATACAGAGCACACGTGGCTACGGGACATTTTTTAGCCCAAACTTGTAACATACACATGGTTCAGATCAGGGTCGGATCTCATTCACACCATAAATAAAGTGCCCTGGAGTTTGTTTGGAACTGTACTGAGACCACCTCCTCCAAAGGGTCTCAATACGGTTGTTTTGATCCGCACACCAATGAACTGCACTGAGGGAGCCAGACCAGAGTTTGATTTAACACAGCATTTGTGAAAATACCCTTACGATACAATTAATGATGGTCAAAATTTGTCCAACTCCTTGGAAAGCAATACAGTGACAATGTTTCAGTGTTGACAATGTTGATGAGTAACTGCAAATTTTGTAGTCAAAAACTCAAAATATTACTGTTACAAAGGACCCAACCCACATGGCATTGCAAGGTAAGTGAATGTTTATTTGCATTGTTTTAGTTTGTGAAGCCTTCCAGCTGCCTTCTTCAGCTTAACACAGCACACAGCTCTGCCGTCATCTGTTCATGACCTCAAGCTGAAGTGCACTTGGGTCCTGCAGCAGGATAATGATCCAAAACACATCAGCAAGTCTACCTCTGAATGGCTTAAGAAAAAACAAAGTAAAAGCGCGTGTAAAAGCGCTTTGGGGTCCCTAGGCGGGACTAGTAAAAGCGCTATACAAATACAGGCCATTTACCATTTACCATTTAATGACTTTGTAGTGGCCTACCCAATGTCCTGACCACTGTCCGACTGAGATGCTGTGGCATGACCTTAAAAAGGCAGTGCACGCTTGAAAAACCCTCCAATGTGGTCGAATTACAACAATTCTGCAAAATGAATCGGCCAAAATTCCTCCATAGCGCTATAAAAGATTGCCAGTTACTGCAAATTTTCACACCATTGTGTTCTCGCATCCAAATGACTTCAGTAAGATAATGCTAACCTGCATACTACAGCTATTAAAACAGCACAGCTTCATAGTAGAAGAATTGTAGTTCTGAACTTACCTACCTACAGTTCAGGCTCCAAAACATTTGGAGCAAAATATAACGATAGAACAAAGAAGCAGAGCAGCTAGAATGCTCTATCAGACAAGAATGGCATAACCTTCGCTGTCAAAAGTTCAGCAGTTGCTCTGTTCAGCTCCCACACACATATGGACTGTTATCAAAAGATGAAGGGTAACTACAAAATTTTATTTATGACCCTGTACCATAAAAAGGTACATTTTTGTCACTATGAATATTTGATATGTTTAGTTTTATATTGTGAATTGTGTATTTACATTTTACCCCAGAATTGGGTTTGTACAACTACAGTCAAACCAGACCTATGGTGCATCGTATTAAGCACTGTATTAAGTGCTGATTGTCTGGTGACCACTGGAAATAATGTTTATTCAGATAATTTTTTAAAATTACTGCCAAATGAAGTGACCAGGGTTGTTTCAAGATGGATGCCAAGTGTTAAGCCTCATTTCTAGGAGGAAATGAAGCTCGTGTGAAACATAAAAAATGTTGAATTCTCTTCTTTTTTAAAAAGAAAATTCTGTTCTTTGATAGTTGACCGAGCTGTTTAGAATGTCAGAAGAAAATCTACAGTGATAAACATAAACACTCTCTTTTTGGACATTTCTCACTCGGAGCAACAGAGCTGAGGAATTACTCTCTCTGAGCAGCACATTCTATGTCTTATCTGGTTAAGTTATCAGATATGTATCGTCAAACCAAAGATGGTCATTTTTGTCTCTGCACTGTCATCAGGATCCCAGACCTGGAGAGCTTTGCTGGCAGCAAAGCTTGAGAAAGCTGCAAAAAAAAAAAAAAATTCTGACATGTGTTGGCTGACTTGCTTTCTTCCTGCCACACACATACCTTACAATGACCCAGCCCAGCATGTCACCCTAGTTGCAGTAACACAAACATGGTAACAGGATAAATGTCTTGCAGTGGAGAGAACGTCTATTATTGTGTGATGCAGGATGAGGGTTGGCTTCTTTGTACCCAGCCCGGCATGGCTTTTAAAGTGTGTGTTGTGTCTCTTCTCTCTGTGACTGTGCTGTCTTCCTTTTATTTTCACTTTCAAGCGTCAAGATGCCAGAATTATTGTCGGCCTGTTCTATGAGACAGAGGCAAGGAAAGTCTTCTGTGAGGTAATGTTCTAACCAGATTCATGTGTCTACTTTAAAATATTACAT